TTTCTTTGGTATATTGTGCTGTGATTATTCCCAATAAAAAGATTTCCGTAAAATGGGCACAAAATTTTCAGAAACCAGTGATGATGGAAACATGGGAAAAGATTTGGGTTAGAAATGTTAAATTTACGCAAGCACAAAATTTGAGAGAGAATTTTTATAAAATGTTTTATAGATGGCATTTAGATCCTAAGAAATTATCATGTATGTACTCGAATTTGCAAGCTAAATGTTGGAGATGTAAATGTGATGATGCAACTTATTATCATATATGGTGGACTTGTAAGAAAATCAAGGCATTTTGGATAAAAATTTGGTGGGTGATGCAGAACATTCTGAAAAAAAGGTTGAAATTTACTCCTCAATTGTTCTTATTGGGCATAACGACGGATTGTACAGTATTAGAGACTAAATTGATTTTGAACTTCATATCAGCAGCCAGACTATTGGTAGCGCAATACTGGAAGAAGGACTCTTTGCCTACTATTGAAGAGTGGATACTGAAAGTAACAAATTTAGCAGAAATGGCGAAAATTTCAGCGTATTTGAAGAACTACACACAAGAAAGATAAGTATTGGAATGGAGAAGGTGGGTTGATTATATTCAAAATAAGTATCAGACAAGAAAATATCAAATAGCTTATAAATGAATGCTAAGTACTAGAAGTATGTTATCTATAGTGGAATTAAGACTTCAGGGGGGGGGGGGTTAGTAGTCTAAGGATAGATAGTTTAATTTAGCTTATGATTGTTAATTGAAATACCTTTTATTTTGCTCTGGGAAGTCAGGGGGAGGGTGGGTTGAGGGGAGGGAAGGGTGGGGGGAATATTGGGGGGGAAATTGTTTTCTTTTTGTAAAACTTTTCAATTAAAAAAAATGCCTTTCTAATAATGGCTGAACAATATCAACTTCTTCACAACGAAATTTAGGCAGCTTCTTTTCAAAGAGTGCTCCTCAATTCTTTCTAAACCTAAATGAAAGTAACAGGCTCCACTAATTTTACTATTCTTTACCTTAGTTAACTTGATTACCAAATACCAAGTCAGTTTGAATCTGTGGTTTCCTCACTACTGTTGCTGCCTCATTACTTAAGGTAATTCACCATTTCTTGGGTAATAGCAGGAGTTCTATATTATTTAGAGGTTTCAAGGCACTTTTAAAGATGCAACTGGCTTCCAATGTATCCTCATTAACTGCTCTCAGTTCTTCTGACCAAAGAAGCACATTATTAAATATTGATTTCCTTTCTTTCCAGAGCTGCCAATGTTACTATTTTCAGTCTCACATGGTCTGCTACTATTTAGTGTACATGCAGTTAACTGATTTCTAAATTTGCATGTTCATCTTTTATGAGGTCCTATAGCAAGGCCATTCAAAGGGGAGGGGATCATCTGTAGTCCACAGAAATAGGCTCCCACCCGCAAGGCAAAGCTTAGGAGATGTGGCCCAATAACCGTCTTTTCCACTCATTGCCAGAAATGTATCCTTAATCTACTTCCTATCCATTGCCCACCACCACCAACTAAGCTCCATATTTGACTCCATGAAGGACCCTCTCAATATGCCTTTCCACTGCAACAATTCTTTGCATCTTGCTCACCCCAATATTATAAGCATGGTATATGCAATACAGAAATTGTTAAGTTTTGAGTAGGTTTATTTTCTATTCTTCTCATCCCTCGTTCTTAGGATCCTTTCTCGGAGCAATTGTATTGCAGATAGGGAGAAGAGAAAAATACGGACTAGTCTGATACACCCTCCAATATTTTCCCTTTACTATAGCAGTTCTCTTGCAGTTGAATAAAAGAGTCAGTGGGAAGAATACATGAATATATTTTATTTTAGTTTTCACTTATTTATTAAATTTGTTTGAACAGTGATATTAACTTTGTGAAACTAGGATGCCTATATAACTAAGTCTGAATATTTTGTTTTCTGAAAAGAGATTTTAAGTTACTATTTTTATTTTTATTTTTTTAAATTTGATTTATATGCCGCCCTTCTCCGGAGACTCAGGGCAGCTTACAATGCGTTAAGCAATAGCCTTCATACTTTTGTATATTTTTATACAAAGTCAGCTTATTGCCCCCACAAACTGGGTTCTCATTTTACCTACCTTAGAAAGGATGGAAGGCTGAGTCAACCTTGAGCCTTGGAGAGATTCCAACCAGCAGTAATTGCAGGAAGCTGTGTTAATAACAGGGTGCTTAGACCACTGTACTATCAAGGCTCTTATGTCACCAAGGTATGGGAAAAGGGCTTGTGCGTCACTTTGAAATCATCTCGCAATTTCTATAGCATCCATGGCAACTGTATGGGACACTTCAGAAGCAACAGAATTGACAGAATAACCAAGTTGGAAGGGACCTTCTAGTCCAATCCCCTGCTCAAGCAGGAGACCCTATACCATTCCAGACAAATCACTTTCCAAACCATTCTTAAAAACTTCCAGTGATAGAGCACCCAAAACGTCTGGAGCCAAGCTGTTCCACTAGTTAATTGTTTGCACCCTCAGGAAATTTCTCTTTTGTTCTAGGTTGGATCTCTTTCTGATATGTTTCCATTCATCTTTCCCTCAGTTCTTTGGATGTTAGGAAGACCTGCCTCTTCTCTCTGACAGCCTCTCAAATATTGGAAGACAGCTATCATGTCACCCCTAGTTCTTCTCTTTATTATACTGGATACAGCCAGTTTCTGCAACAATTCATCCCACGTTTTAGCCTCCAACCCCCTAATCATCTTTATTGCTCTTCATTGCACCATTTCTAAAATTTCTATCATGGTAACCAAACTGGATTCAGTATTCCAAGTTTTTAATTACCAAAGCAGTATAAAACGGAATTAACATTTCATGTGACCTTGATAAAATCTCTCTGTTGATGCAGCATTGGGTTTTTGGGGTATTTTGGTACCTGCACCACACTTCTATCTCATATGTAAGTGGCGAGTTTGAAATCCCTCTCACAGCCCCTTGATTCTATCGGCCTCCCGACTCTCAGCTGATTTGCTCTCAGCTGTTTTGCTCAGGGCTCTGCTGCTTGCTTGCAAAGAGTGCAGATTTTTTTCCCCCTATCTATGCTGTAAAACGAAACTGAAAGTAAAAGCCTGCTTTACTGTTGCTGCAACGTTGGAAAATTAGGCAGGCAGATTTCTTTTCTTTTTCCTCACCTTTAGTGGAAAGGTAGTTTTCCCTAAAGAGGTAGTTCCTCTTTAGGGAAAAAGAGGAGAGTTCAAGATTTTAAAACACAAAAGAAAAAAAGCCCTATTTAACTAGGGAATTGTAATAATTGAGATACTATTAATTGTATATTGTGTTGAAAGCAGAAATGGTTAAATTGTGATTTGGAGGAATATATGGGGGAAATTATTTGGTTTATTATTATTGGTAAATATAATTAATTGATTTGTAAGAAATTGGATTGGATGGAAATAATTGGAATATTCATGTTCATATTGATTAATATATAAAAAAGATAGTTATATAACTAATTGATTTATATTAAAATGTTGAATTTATATTAAACAACTGTAATATTACATAATTAACCACTGTGAGGATGGATATAAAAATAGATGACAATGAGAAGGGGTATAATATAGAATAGAAGGGAAAAATTGAATTTGATTAAGATTAGAGATGAGGATGAAGGGTAATATTGTTTTTTTAAAAAAAAATAGATAAGGAATAAATATGGCAAAAAGGAAATATAGAAATTGTAAATTTAATTGAAATGACTAAACACTGTTTAAATTTGTGAACTGGCCAAATACTCTGTTCAAAGAAAATACATTGTATGTTTGTATGTGTGTTTCTAATTACTGCTATTTATTCATATTTATTCTCTTTTATTCTTTAAAGTTTAACAATTCATTCTTTATCTTAATATCTTTATATTTGTTTGGGGTTGCCTTTCTTCCATTTCATCTTTTTCACTGTACAGCAATCTTTCTCCTCAAACCTACCACCTCTCTCTTTTCTTTCCTTCTTACTTTCTCTTCCCCCCCTTCTTCTCCTCCTCTCTTCCTCCCTCTCTTACCCTCACTCTTACTCTAATTTTCCTTCCCTTCCTCCCTTCTCTTGCTTCCCTGTCTCTCCTTCTTTCTTCCATCTCTCTTCTCCTTCCTTCATCCCTCTCTATTGCTGTATCCTTTTGTGCATATGGATTACTCAGAGGGCTGAAAAAGTTATTTTTGACCAGTCCTCGCACTTACGACTGTAGTCACATTTTATGTTTTGCGCCCTATCTTGTCACTGTGGTGAAGACAAGTAGTGGTGAAATGACTGACACAGTTGTTAAGAATGCCACAACGGGCATAAATGTGAGGATAGTCATAAGTGCGAGGACCAGTCAGAAATGACTTTTTTCAGCCCTCTGAGTAGTCCCTATGCACATAGCCATGCCCACTGGTCACATACCCAGCTAGCCACACCCACCCAGTCACATGACCACCAATCCACACACCCCAACTAAGCCACGCCCACAGAACCGGTTGTTAAAAATATTGAATCCCACCACTGCAAATAAGACTGTGCTTCATCTGGGTGCCACAAACATTCACCAAGAAGCAGAGCAGCTGTTTTCCCATAACCCACCCATAAAAATGTGTCACCCATGACAGCAGTGCCAATTCCAGATTTCTACAATTTAGTTTAAATGGCTCTTCCCAAACTCCAGCTGCTAGTGAATATGGCTGAACATTATCACCGTGGACTGGTGGAGTTTGGGCAGCAACTCAGTAAGGAATTTTCTTTGCCCCACTAGGACATGGCAAGTCCTGAACCTCCAATCTTTTACAACCATAGCAACTTTTCTTAGTTCAACTAAGTCTGTTGCTCTTCCAAGGACTTTTGCAACAGGAGTGTTTCAACACAAGGAAGATGCACCATTGCCTTATGTAAGAACTGTAAAAAAAACCACCTAAGAATCTTTGCAACAGTTCACTGAGGTGATATGATGCAATCATTATATTTCTATAAATAGAGAGCTGTGTCTGTCCCAGGAGTAAAATTTGGTCCAGAACCAAAGCCAGCATGAAGATCCTTTATCTGCTGTTCACATTTCTTTTCCTTGCATTCCTGTCTCAACCAGGTAAGAAACAAAATTAGCAATAATTTAGAAAGGATTGATAACTCACTACTTTCTAAACAAGTGTGACTATCACTGAAAGCAGGATAATCTTCAACGTCTTTTTATTTTACTTTATAGAAATAGCTTTGAACTGTGTGGACTATTGACATAATGATCCTCCAAACATTTGAAAAACATGCCATTGATTTTTCTTTTGCAATAAAATTTAAGATCCAGTAAATTATTAGACATTCAGGAGGGGCTGGAAAATTAATTCATTGATTCACTATTCTTGAAAGAACTTTATGGAGGGTTTTGTTGTTGTAGTTTATTTTTGTTGATTTGCTTCACTTTTAGTATTGGTTTACCAAATTCTCAGCAAAATAAGGTATGTTCTATTTAATAAAGAGGCACAATGGAGTCTCAAATTTGGACCAGTCCTCCCCTCCCTCTTTCTCTTTCTTTTTTTCTCTCAGCCCACATCTTCTCACAGTCTAGGTGCTTTGGAGAAAATAGGAGGAGGAAGGAGTATTTGATACATTTACCACCTTAACTTATTTTTGAAAAATAAAGATGGAGAAAAATAAAAGATACATAGTAATCATTTAGTAAATCTATTTGTACTCAATGTGGGAAAAAGAGAAGAAATTGCAGCAAAATGTCACATATGCACAGCTTTTCAAGAGCAAGGAAGACCATCCTTGAAAACATTAAGAGAATCATTTACACACAAGATCTCCATCCAAAACATTCAGCAGAACTAACTTATTTCCTAGCAAACACGGATCCGTTGTAATAATGGAGGAAAATATATCACAGCAAGGACTTCCACTGGTATAACCCAGATTTTTTTATTCCCCTGACTATCTTAATGGATACAGGTATACCAGCCAACTCAACTCTACGCCAGACTTCAAATTCGTCTAGATATCAGATTTATTTGGGCTGCTACAGGGAGATCAACAGAAAGGGATTCCTCTGGTTAGAGAAAACTCTCTGAACTGATAGGAGTCCTGTGACTCTGTGGAAGAAGACGGTGTCTTCGAAGAAAAAATGGATATAAATAACAAGATATCTTTACTCACCTTTACTTTATTCGCCTGTCTCCTCTTTTTCTTTTCACAGGGAATGCCGGCCCCCGCTGTCGTCGGCTAAGAGGAGTGTGTGTTCGGTTTATGAGATCTGGGGTTTCCTGTTACGGGCAAGTGGATTGTCCAAAAGGATATTGGTGCTGCCATAGGTAAGAAAAATCTCCTCTAATAGAAATATTACAAATATATATTGAGACTATCTGCTTGATATTGTTTGCATTCACAAAGCTTTGCAAAGCACAGAATTTACCAATCTATTATCTTATCTCATTTGTACAGCTGGGGTAGAAAATAATGCCATCTCCATCTACCACCCGGAACGTCTTCAAGATATGGCCAATGATCTGAGATTACCGCCTGCTATCGCTTTATCTTTCTTTACATGAATCAAATTGCTATCTATCAAACTCAAAAACATTTATGCATTAAAATAAAAATTGGCAAATATTCCTTGAAATAAAGCTAAATGAGCATTGCAGAAATTGTGCAACTTCTTTAACTGGGACCAGGGGCTTTATATTCCTATGAGAGACAGAAGGAGAGAGAGAGAGGGTGGTGGTGGGAGGGAAAGAGAGAGGGGGGGAGGGAAGAGGGAGGTGGGCAGGAGGCATCTCTTTGCCAACATTTCAGTGTGAAAGGTGTTATCTGTTTTAACCACATATTATGCTTTAATTTCACACAGTCTTGTTCTTTCCCTTCTGTTTACTTATTGTAATGGTTACTTTGCCACTGAGGTTTTCCAGTTGATATGGCTGCTTGGGCAGAAGTAGTTTAAAATCAAATTTAAGCTATTAGCTAAGACCTCAGAAAGGAGGGGGGGGGGAAGAATTACTAAAGTTTATATTTTTCTCAAGTTACATTTTTTCTCAAGATACTACTTGGCATAAGAATGACTTTGTCCAATGGCTCAATATCAGCATTGACTGAGTGTTGATAAAAGAAAGGAAGATGTAGCAAGAGGAAATCTGCATGAGAGAAAGGATCTTTTCCTGGACCATTCTTTTTGTTAAATAGACAGACCAACAGATGTTATAAAATTTATTTTAGTTACCAGGATAAAGAAATAGATAGACTCCACAATAAAATCAAATGATCAGGGGGTGAGTTTGATAGGACCTAATGCAGACAAACACACACAGGTAACAAGTGAGGGATAGTATTGGGGACGCTGATCCTAATAAAGGGGTGTGATCTAAGAATATACACAGATGAAAATATAATTTGTACAACCAATATCCATTAAGACTGAACCTATTTGATTTCCCCTACTCCCCCCATGTTTCATTCATACACTTTCTGCTTTTCCTTTATTACAGGGTCTAAATTTTATAAGGGAATGTAAATATTTAACTTGTGACACAAATCATCCTATAAAATGTTAATATCTCAGTTATGAATCATACTTCACTGAAAAGATTGATTAAAATACAAATAGTAATTACAAATGTAAGTCTGGGACCAATAGTTTACACATATCCATTCTTTATTTGCCTTTTTACTGCACCAATTTTTACAACATAGGCAGGGTACACATAACACAGAAGTTACTGAGTTACAGCTGGATTTCCCTTTTCCACTTTTATCCTCATCCCTCGCGTTTAGGATCCTTTCTCAAGTCAAATCTATTGCAGAATGAAGTTCAAAGGGGGTGGGATAGTCTAGTACACCTCAAAATGTTTTTTCCATCTCCTCTAGCAGTTCTCATTCACTTGAATAAAAGAGTTCATGGGAAGAGTGTGGAATTCCTGTAACTACGGAATCTTTCTGATGATTCAGGTAACCAAGTCTGTTGCTACAACAGGTAAATACATACTTCCCTCAGCATACTTCCCTCATACATCTTCCCTCATACTTCCCTCAACAATTATGTTTCAGGTAAAAGTTGAAATGTCACATTTAGTATGGATCTAAGCCTAGGTGAACTGCATAACTGGATCATAATATGGTCGTAATATGGTGAATATTATTTTATTCTTTACCTTTTTTTCACTTTATTTTAAACAAGGTGTCAGTTTGTTCCTGAGATATCCTCATTGTCCTTTCTGCACACACTCATTACACAAGATCATTTCTGGGGTAATACAGGAGCTCAAAATGATTTCTAGACTTCAAGGCACTTTTAGAAATACAGTTGGCCTCTACCTATTTCCTGTGATTCTTGAGCAAAGAACTACACTTTTCAACATTGACTTTCTTTTCAGAACTGCCAGTTTTGCCATTTTTAGTCTCAGTGATATTCATTGTGTGGGTTGTTAATTTATTTATTGTTTATTTATTGGTTCAATTTATATGCCGCCCTTCTCCGGAGACTCAGGGCGGCTTACAATGCGTTAAGCAATAGCCTTCATACTTTTGTATATACCTGCTTAGTAGGGCTTTCGGCTCCCCCTAAGCGGTGTTCTTTTTTATACAAAGTTAGCTTATTGCCCCCACAATCCGGGTCCTCATTTTACCTACCTTGGAAATGTTAGTACTGCTTTATAAGATCTTGGTAAGACCACACTTGGAATACTGCATCCAGTTTTGGTCACCACAATATATATATATAAAAAAATTGAGACTCTGGAAAGAGTGCAGAAGTGCACAACTGAGCTGTTGTCAGATCCCTAAAAGTGATACTGCTATTCAGTTGGAAGAAGGGGGAGACTTGGATTCGATTTAATAGCATTGCCTGTGTCAACAGATATTTTACAACTTATATCCTGGCGCCAAAGAGCCCTGAGATCCTCTTAACATAGACAAATGTTTATGATAGCCATGTGGGTTGTTTCACTTTAAAGCAGCGGTTCTCAACCTGGGGGTTGCGACCCCTTTGGGGGTTGAACAGCCATTTGACAGGGGTCGCCAAAGCCCTCTCTCACCCCCCCCCATGCTTTCACTCACCCTCACTCTCTGCTCTGTTGGATCGCCGGCCGTTCGCTTACCCCGCCCACTCCCAATCTATTGCTGCCTCCGGAGTCCCTCTGATGGCTAGAGGGAAAAAAACTCTTTAAATTCTTGCCGTGGGGCTTCAAAGGGCCTCCCTACAGCTGATCAGTGTTAAAAGAAAACAAATGAGTAGATCGGTGCCTGCAAATATAAATGGGTAGACCCAGTGGTGGGATTCTACTTTGGTAGAACCGGTTGTTAAGTAGTTAAGCCAGTGGTTGCAAAAGTGGGCGGTACTGCCCCCTGGGGGGGGTGGGATGCCTTAGGGGGGCAGTAAGTGGCAAGGGGGGCGGCAGACGGACGCTAGAGGCAAAGGGGGGGTGACAGGGGGGCTAAGTGGCAAGGAGGGTGGACCCCCTTTGACCTGTGCCTCGCAGCACTTACCTCCTTGCAAGCAAACAGCAAGAAAAAAACAGCCTCTTTCAGCTTCAGCATAGGTTAATTAGCATGATTAGATCGGCCTCCGACTCTCAGCTGATTCGCTCTCAGCTGTTTTGCAGGCTCTTTTGCAAGCTTTTGTTTTGCAAGCTCTTTGCTTGCTGCAAAGAGTGTTGGAGCAGATTTTTTTTTTCCCTAGCTAAAAGGAAATTAAAAGTAAAGCAGGCTCTGCTGCAATGTGACAAAATGAGGCAGGGAGGGAGATTTCTTTTTCTTTCTCCTCACCAAAAAAGGTAGGTGCAAACAATGGGAAATTTAGGGCAAAAGAGGAGAGTTCAAGATTTTAAAACACAAAAGAAAAAAAGCCCTATTTAACTAGGGAATTGTAATAATTGAGATACTATTAATTGTATATTGAGTTGAAAGCAGAAATGGTTAAGTTGTGGTTTGGAGGAATATATGGGGGAAATTATTTGGTTCATTATTATTGGTAAATATAATTAATTGATTTGTAAGAAATTGGATTGCCTGGAAATAATTGAAATATTCATGTTCATATTGATTAATATACAAAAAAGATAGTTATGTAACTAATTGATCTATATTAAAATGTTGAATTTGTATTAAACAACTGTATTACATAATTACATAATTAACCAATGTGAGGATGGATATAAAAATAGATGACAATGGGAAGGGGTATAATATAGAATAGAAGGGAAAAATTGAATTTGATTAAGATTAGAGATGAGGATGAAGGGTAATATTGGTTTTTTTTAAAAAATAGATAAGGAATAAATATGGCAAAAAGGAAATATAGAAATTGTAAATTTAATTGAAATGACTAAACACTGTTTAAACTTGTGACCCGGCCAAATACTCTGTTGAAAGAAAATACATTGTATGTTTGTATGTGTGTTTCTAATTATTGCTATTTATTCATATTTGTTCTCTTTTATTCTTTAAAGTTTAACAATTCATTCTTTATCTTAATATCTTTATATTTGTTTGGGGTTGCCTTTCTTCCATTTCATCTTTTTTACTATACAGCAGTCTTTCTCCTCAAACCTACCACCTCTCTCTTTTCTTTCCTTCTTACTTTCTTCCCCCCCACACTTCTCCTCCTCCTATTTCCTCTTCCTTTCTCCTTCTCCTCCTCTTTTCCTCCCTCTCTTACCCTCACTCCTACTCTAATTTCCCTTCCCTTCCTTCATCCCTCTCTATTGCTGTATCCTTTTATGCATATGGACTACTCAGAGGGCTGAAAGAGTTATTTTTGACTGGTCCTCACAATTTGGACCAGTCCTCGAACTTACGACTGTCCTCACATTTTACGTTTTTGCCCTATCTTGTCACCATGGTGAAGAAAAGCAGTTGTGAAATGAGTGACATGGTTGTTAAGAATGCTACAATGGGCATAAATGATGACCAGTCATAAGTGCAAAGACCAGTCAAAAGTGTGAGGACCTGTCAGAAATCACTTTTTTCAGCCCTCTGGGTAGTCCTTTTGTGCACATAGACTACTCAGAGGGCTGAAAAAGTTATTTTTGACTGGTCCTTGCACTTTTGATCAGTTCTCGAATTTACGACTATCTACACATTTTAGGTTTTTTGCCCTATCTTATCACCATGATGAAAAGAAGCAGTTGTGAAATGAGTAACATGGTTGTTAACAATGCTGCACGGGCATAAATGTGAAGATGGTCATAAGTGTGAGGACCAGTCAAAAGTGCGAGGACCTGTCAGAAATGACTTTTTTCAGGCCTCTGAGTAGTCCCTATACACATAGCCATGGCCACCCGGTCACATGACCAGCTAGCCATGCCCACCCAGTCACATGACCTCCAAGCCACGCCCACAGAACAAGCCACGCCCACAGAACCAGTAGTAAAAAAATTTAGAACCCACCCCTGGTTGGAGGTCACCACAACATGAGGAACTATATTAAAGGGTCACGGCATTAGGAAGGTTGAGAACCACTGCTTTAAAGGATGACGGTGTGAATGCATGGTTGCTTGGGTTCTCAGGCAAACTAGTAAAGAAAACATCTTCACACTTGTGTATTAGCTAAAATCTGTATTCTGACTTAAAGGGAGGGGTCTCTACTGCTTTAATCCTACTTTTCTTGCCTAAGGGTATTCAGATCTTGCTTCAAACTGGGTTACTATCACTTCTG